AAAAAAAAAAGAATGAAATAAAAAGAAAAGTCAACAGAAATAAACCGTATTTTATGAGAAAAAATTTGTTCAGGTGTAAAAAGAAATCAGATAATACTTTTACTGTTTCTCCATTCTTTCCCAGTCTTATCCGCTTACCTGAAAAAAAAAAGACTTGAAAGTAACATCATAAAATTAGCAAAACAAAAAGAAACAGCATTTTAGACAATTATTTTGTGATTGGTATTGCTTTTTTTTCTTTTCCTGGAAACATAAAAATTGGTTTAGAGGATATAGCATAGGGCAGAAAGATGTGGTGCTGTCTGTAAACATTTTGAACTGCTTTGGAAGCTTTAAGAGGATAATACCAGTTTAAAAAAAAGAATAACAAGAGGAACGTTTAAAGAAAATAAATTTAAAGAATAAAAAAAAAAACAAAGATTGTCTTCCTTCTTTAAGCTGTTTTTCCTTTTTTTATGAGAGGAAACGGGATGGGAAATGTGATGGAATAAAAAATTTTGAAACGACAACTTTTGGTAAGGGTGAGGCAGTACAATTGGATTACATTTAATACCAATTTAAAATTACAATAAATCTTTTGCTGTAATTAATGTAACTGTTGCTTTCTTTTTTTTCAGTTTCCTCTTTCCTCTACTTTTTTTAAATCACACTTCTTTCTGTCCCTTTAAGTAGCCTATTCTTTTCCTAAAAACAAAAAAAAAAATAAGGGATGAGTAAAGAAAAAAATTATAGTTACTGTTAGTACCCGAATTTGGTTGAATTTAATGCTGAAATAGGATAAATCTTTCAGTTGTCTACCAAAATTTGTCTTCTTTTTTTACATTTATTTTTCTTTGTTTCTAAACAGAAAAAACAAAAAATCTTTTTTTGTTTTTGTTCTTCTACATTCTGTTTTTTCTCGTTTTTTTTTTTTTGTGTTGCTATGCATTGTTTTGCAGGAATCGTATTAAATAAAAAAACTGAAAAACAGCTTTAAAGGCTGAATAAGATTAATTTAACAGATTTTTGAAGTGCTGACGGTGAAACTGCTGATAGACTATTGTCTGCTGTATCCCAAATAACTATGGGATAAACCAGAGCTTTCTTCTAGTTTTTTTTTTGACTTTTTGACAATAATTATTGGAATTTGCTGTAATTGGAGACACCAAAAACAATGCTTTTCAATTGTTTTACGTCTCTTCTTCCATCATTCTTGAAGAAAAAGGATGCTTAACTTTTTTCCTCTTTTATTTGACACCATTTGAAATCCAATAAAAAAATAAAACATTGAGTGGATCAAAGAAAAAGAAAGACCAGTAAAAAACATTTTGAATCACTTTTCTTTGTCAGTTTTCTTGATATTTTCTATTTGATTTTGCAATAATGATTACAAAAAAAATCATAATACTTTTTTAAGAAGTTTGCATACAGTTATCGTCATTATTGTTCATAACCTATTGTCACCATCTTAGTTCTGATCAGTTGGTGGAAGAACATCAGCAACAACAAAAAAACATCATTTAAAATGCCAGATGAAATTGGATCCCAACTGAAAATACTACACCAAAAAATTTGCGGCGCTGTTAAGTTGGCAGCAACGTTGGTTCAGTGTTAGTAATAAATGGAAGTCAATAAAAGCGATTGAAATAAAAATAAAATTTTAAGAATTAAAAGCATGAAAACTTTTTTTTTTCCAGCAATATAATGGTTTTTTTTTTCCTCTGTGAGAGGGGGATAGGGAGAGGAAGCAAAGGATTACATTTGCTTTTGTTGGGATT